CAGTACTCTCGGATGCATTAAGTCCGGACCCATGGATTTGTGTACGTTTAGCTTTTCTAAATAGTTCCTAACCTGTTCTTTACCCACTGCGGGCTGTCCATCTTCATCCCATCTTGCGTCACTTAGTGCAGAAGTTCAGGAGCCGACCTTATCCATGAATACAGAGGCAAAGAAAGCATTGAGTACTTCAGCTTTCCCCACATCATCTGTCACTAGGTTACCTCCTTCACCCACTAGGAGCCGCATACCCTCTCTGATCACCACCTTCTTGTTAACATGCCTGTAGAAACCTTTCTTGTTATCCTTCACATCCTTAGCCAGTTGCAATTCCATTTGTGCTTTCTCCTTCCTGATAACCCCCTGGCATTCTCAAGCTATACATTTATACCCCTCCCTGATCATTTGTCCAAGTTTCCACTTTTTGTAAGCTTCCTTTTTGTGCTTAAGTTCACCAAGGATTTCCCCTGTAAGCCAATCCTGTCTCCTACCATGTTTGCCTCTCTTGCTACGCGTCAGGATGGTTTCTTTCTGTGCCTTCAATAAGGCTTCTTTAAAATACTGCCAGCTCTCCTGGACTCCTTTCCCCTTCATGTTAGCATCCCAGGGGATTCTGCCCATCAGATCTCAACAAAATTTTTGTAGACTGCACGATTAATCTATAAGGGTTAGCACTGCAAGCATTCTGTCCCAGCTTGCGTCAGGTCCCAGGAACTACCCCCACTGTAGCTGTGTACTGAAAGTCATTTAGGAGCTGGTTGGGCAGGCAGCCCAGCTGAGTTCCGGATTACGCTGGGTCTTGAGAGCTACCCCCGCTGTGGCTCTGCATTAAAAGTATTTTAGGAGCCACGTGGGGGTAGCTTTACTTTTATTTAAATACTTTTAATGCGGAGCAGCAGCAGGGATAGCTCCCAGGACCCGGCGTGAGCTAGGACTGAGCCGGGCTGCCTGCCTGCCCGGCTCCTAAAATATTTTTAATAAAGAACCACAGCAAGGGTAACACCTGCTGACTAGCTCTCTAAAAAATTTACTGTCTGGGGAGAGGGGAATGCATGTAGTCAATAGCATTAACCAGTATAATATTACATCCCTAATTTAACTAGTATCCCTTATTTAGTAACAAGTAAGGTTTCAGTTCTATTTAGGTTCTGATACTGTGCTCATCATTATGAGATCTGAGATTTAAACCATAACAGCCACACATATTAAGTATTGTGAAACCAAAGTTTCTCTGTGCTATGTGGCGTTTGATACTGTAGCTTTTTAATCTTTAGATATTATGTGGTGCTACCATCTCCTTTGAGGTGAACTGCAAAGCAAAAAGATTCATTAAAACCTTCCATCTCTTTAGTCCCTCTTTTTGAATGAACTTGAAAGCATGCTTGAGTTTTGTCTGTTTTGCAACTACATTGCAAACATTTTGAAAAAATTTCACACACAATTGTTATATACCAAAAAAGATTTGTTGTCGGTTCAGTTAGTTAAACAATACAAAGCTACCTAAATGTATTGGTTTGTCATAATTTGACAGAGGAGAGGAGCAGTTTGGCTTTAAAACATTAGAACAGCATTATGTAATTAGTTTAAGGACACGGAGGAAACTAGAGTAACACAGGATACCAATTAAATTAAACTCCTGAAGAAATCAAGAAATATGATATTCAAATATGTTGTGATATTTTCCTTCCCATTCATCCAGAGTAATAATTCTTGAGGATGAACTTGAAAAACTTGTTAGCTCAAAGGAGACACAAGAACTAACTTCAGAAGCTTATCAAGTCTTAGAGCAAAAACTGAAGCTGATTCAGCCTCACATCCAGGCAAGCAACAGCTGCTGGGAAGAGGCCATTTCTCAGGTTGAAAAAATGGTTAGAAGAAGCCTAGATAAAAAAGGTATTTTGAAAAGTTTCTTTTATCACCAGTGTATCTAAATGTGATTAAAGCGATTTGTCTTGTTTATATTTCCAAGACCCTGTTTTCTAAATGTGCAACTGAATTTTGTTTAATAACATTTCTGTTGAAGATAGTTTTCCAAAGTGTCTAGTTTAACATGTTATGTCGCTCCCATTTCTCCTTGATGAGTTTAAAGCTTTTTATTATTACTCGTTATTTTTGTGTGCTCAAAAGTGTGCTCATCCTAAGCTTAGGTTGACCCAACCTGATAATATAATACAGGTTAGACCGCTGTGATCTGGCACCTTTGGGACCTCAGTGGTCCCGAAGGAGGGATTTTGCCGGAGGGGGGAGGTCAATTCTGCCCACTGGCCCCCAACCCGACTCCACTCCTTGCCTGGCCTCCTGGTGAGCTCCCCACATGCAACCAGCCCTGCTGACCTGCCATGGCAGCTCCCCCCAGACACCTCCTGGGCCAGCTCCTCTGCTCTCCCCCCAGGCTCCTGCCTTTGGTCCTCCACCGGGTCTCTCTGGTCCAGCAATATCCAGAATGCCTGCCAGACTACAGGTGTTGCTGGACCAGGGAGTCCCAGTTGAGAGAGGTTCAACCTCTACAAATTGTTTTTGGTGAACTTTTCTTTTCAAAGATGGACTGAATGTGAGTGGACAGGATTGTGATGAGAATGAGTTATTGAGTAATTTTAAAATAACTTAAGGTGCAGAAATGACTTGCTTACCTTTTCCCCAAACAATGTTTAAATTTAAAAAAAAGAAAAGTGAATATATGGTGATCACAAACATATGATATCTATTCACTTAATTTTCCTGAGAAAGAAGAGGTCTGTTCTGGGAAGAAGAAAAAGAAAAGAGCTGACATAAGGTTCCCTAGAAACTAACAGTGACTTAACCACTGGAATCTGAAACCAAATATTTTGGCATTCTTCCAGAACATGTTTGTGTGTAAAACTTTCAGAACTTTGTTTTTTGTTGTTACGATGTTAATTTAAATAAATTTGTGTTTAAATAATGAAAAGAGAAGGGTTTTGACATTACTGCCAAGATTTTTTTAAAATAACTTTCTGGTTAATTCATAAATGAGTAAATAGGAGTCTAATAGAGTAAACATGAGAATTCTGCTTTTAAGTCTCAATATATTATCTTGTTGCAGAGCCTAGTCATGCTCTTGTTCTGGAAGGAGGAATTTTCCTTTATACTTGTTTTAGGTTTCCAATTCTACATCCATTGATTACCTCAGTGTGAATATTTTTCTTGTTTAGTACTTATTTTTAGGCATTTACTTAATATGATTTTATCAGTTACACACTAGCCAACTCATTTGATCTGATTTCTCCCGCTCTCCCCCATTTTGAGATGTTATACAAAAATAGTTTTGGGTAAATGAGGGTCTATTTGTAGGGTGGGGGTTGGCTTGAGGTATTATGGGGTGGGTGACAGTTTTTCACTTACTATTTTGTCCTGTAACTTTCCCTGAAATTTGTTGATTTTCAATATGTGTTTTACAACATGCCTAAAGGAATTATGACTGATACAAATGACTGTTAAAATATATTTTTCTTTCAACTGATTCTCAGAAGTCAAGTACCATTTTTTTAAAAAAACTATGAAGTTTTTATTTGGTATGAAAAAAACCATTGTGTACACAGTCTGAAGACGTGATATAATAATTAAAAAAATACATTGCTGTGGACACATGGCAGTCCTGTTGGGCAAGCATTCTAAATATATGGTCAGTAGTAGAAATCCTAGTTAACATCTGCTAATAATTTGTGTCAAACTTTCTGTTCTTGATAACCTAATAATTAAAAAACAAAATTGGCAAAACCGCTCAACTTTCTAAACTTAAATAGGAACATAACCTATGCCTGCCAAGTTATCCTGAAGCTCTTAACATGTTAGTCTTTATAGTGTGCTCAAAAAGGCAATGGACTGTGAATCAGTGTACTTTGCACTGGAATCAGATTCTGACCCATGTCACCATACTGAACTATTAAAGATCAGTTACCTATTCACTTCAGCACTTGATCTTTTTTTGTTTTTATTTCCCTCCCATTGTCTCCATCCCCCCACTCCCTCTCTGGTCTCCAGACAAACCTGGAACATCTTGTGATAATACTCACTGTCCCGTGATACCATTACTACAACCTGCCTTGCATATAGAGGACAAGGACCCAATCCCTGAAGAACAGGTAAGAATAAATAGAAGCTTTCAAACTTATATATAAATTGTGTGTTGCAAAGACATTTCCCTTATCTGTTTCCTTTTTAGCTGCTTATCTCCTTCAACAAGATATGTAAGAGATGCCCTTTCATAAACAGACTCGTGAACTGCTCAACAGCAGATAGGATATATAGTATCTATATTGTATCACATGGTGGTGCTCCCCACCCAGTAACAAGGAGTTTTGGAATTAGTTTGGAATCCATTTCCTGCATATGCTCCCTTGGAACCAAACAAAGACATCTTTAAAAGAATTGTGGAGAAGGTGTGAATTGGGTAAAGGGCAATTTATTGTTACTGGCTTTAACCTAAATAATTGTATGTGGTTTGCATAATCTTAGATTTAGCGTGGACTCTTAAAATATGCTTTAACATGAACTATTGTGTGAGTTGTTTTCTCTCTCAGTTTATGGGCACTCATTTGAAGGCTAAAGTAACTGGAAAGAAAAATTGGCCTCAACTCAGGAATTAACTGATGGGCACATTTTGGGAGAAGAAGAGCTCCCACTGCAGCGGTGCGTGTGGGAGAGTTGGGGCGTGACCTCTGCCGTCATTGTGCGCCAGTCCCCTGTAATTCCCCAGGTTCCTCCTGCCATAGGATGGTTGGGGCAGCTGCTGCAGGGCCCCCAGAAGCATGGGACCTGGGGCAACTGCCCTGAACCGTGCTGTGGACAGGACAGCTCTATATCACCCTTGAATGAACCGGAGGCAGGGAGAGTAAAAAAACAGTGATAGTCATCATATCCAATAGGAACTGTGGGAAAAGTGATCTCCATCCCCCAAGTCAAAATCTCCTTTTTGTATTAGTGGTTCTTCTTCGAGAGGTCCCCGTGGATGCTCCACGCTTGGTCTTAGTGCCATCCCGGTGCTTGGATTGGAGATTTTGCAGCAGTACTTCCTGGTCCATGCATGCGCAGCATGAACCAGCGCACGCTGTGCCAGTCGGCACCATGCTTGCGCAGCTCGCATCCTCTAGTTCCTTCTCCACCGCCCTCAGCCTGAGATGGAGCTCTGCAGTTCTCTGCCTCATTTACACTTTTTTGTATGGTTTATTAGCTATTAATTCTTAGTTTTAGTTAGTGTTGTTAACAGTTTGATAGTTGTAGTTACAAAAAAAAAAAAAGGTTTTTCGTCATGCCCAACTCCCCGGGCTTCAAATGCTGCGCCTCCTGCACAGACGCAGTGCCTATCTCAGACGGACATTTGCAATGTGTCAGATGTCTAGGAGAACACAATTCTTCTCGAGATTGTCCCCACTGTGCCAAACGTAGGGCCAGAACTCGTAGGAACAGGGACCTTCACCTTAAACTGATCCTTATGGAAAAGAAGGCACTCCTGGCTTCGGATCCCAGAAGGTAGCCTAAGGAGGTACGTTCACTCCCAGGCTCCTCTCAGGGCAAGAGGGCACTCAAAAAGAGAAGTTCCTCTGTGCCCTATCACCAGCCCTCCTCGAAAAAATAGTCTCCACCCAAACCATCAGCGCAGAGGCCTCACGTCAGCACTTACAACGCACCAGACACCTCAGGTGTCCAGGCACCATCGCATGCCAGCGGCACCAACAGCAAAGGGTTCAGTCATCGCCCTAAGACCTTACCGGCACAGACCTCGGTACCGTCATCCACTTTGGTACCAGCTCAGGCACCACCGTTACTAACAACTTTCATCAGTACCAATGACTACGGCAGCAGTGCCACTACCAGTACCCAGCTCTACGGCACCGACCATTTCCACCACACCGACGGTACCTTCAGGTTCGTCGGCATCGATCAGATCATTGGCACCACTCATATACTTGGTACCACCAACAGACCAGAGATCTCTGCCATCTGTGCCAAAAATTCCATCAGCACAGTACAGACGCACATTGTAAACCCCAGCACTGATCCTTGCGGCATCGTTGCTGTACATGCGCAGTGCTGACTTGGCAATCATATCTGCCCCTCAATCATCATTCTTCAGCACCAATGCTTCACCGGTACCGATGACATTGTGGGCTTTATCCCAGTGCAGTTGCAATTCTCTAGTGACAACAAAGAAGAGATACAGGCCTCCTTCTCTCCGCACCACAGCCCTCCGATGCAATATTATAAGCCCAAATACAATCCAAGCGCCATTTCTCCTTGGTACGAACACCACTGGATGCCTCCTCCAGTACCGTACCCAGCACAATGGCCTTATTGGAGTCCTTGAGGCTTATACAGGCAGTCCCCGGGTTACGTACAAGAGAGGTTTGTACTTAAATTGAATTTGTACTTAAGTCGGAACTGGCATCCAGATTCAGTCGCTGCTGAAACTGACTAGCGGCTGACTACAGGAAGCCCGAGGCAGAGTTTCTCTGCCCCGGGCTTCCTGGAATCAGCCGCTGATCAGTTTCAACAGCGGCTGGAACTTGGTG